GCACTGCGACAGCGCTGCGGCGCCGTCGTTGGTGACGCGCGTGCGGCCCACGTTGACCTCCCGCAGCTGCGCCAGGCCGCCCAGGACGTTGACGTCGGAGACGGCTCCGCAGCCCTCGAGCGAGATCCACTCCAGCATGATGAAGTTGCACAGCGGCGCGAGGCCCTCGTTGGTGAGGGAAGTCTCGCTGAGGTTCAGCTCGCGCAGGCTCTCGCAGAGTGCGCCGACGAGGCAGGTGAGGCTGGTGATGCGGCCGCACCACTGCAAATCGAGTTTTGTGAGCTCGGGGCAACACTCCAGCGCCGCCAAACTGCTGTCGGTAATGCTGCTGTACGCGAGGTCGAGCTCGCGTAGTCGCGTGAGTTGCTGTAGCCATTTCAGGCCCTCGATCTTGCGGCAACCCTCCAACGACAGGCGGCTTAGTTTGCGCAGTGTAGCCACGTCGCGGCTCACGTCGTCCTCTGTCACCTGCGTGTAGGAGAGGTCCAGGTCTTGCAGGGCATGCAGGGCGCGGTGCCGCAGGAACTGCGTCCCTGACACAGCCGAACTCATGCACAGCGAGAGTCGCTCCACGCGGCGGCAGCTCTTCGGCAGCAAGTTCAGATTCTCGCTCGTCAGGTGCGTGTTGCGCAGCGCCAACGCCCGCACATCGGCGCAGTGCGGGAGAAATGGCGCAACGTCAGACACCTGCTGTCCGTGGAGGGCGAGTTCGCGCAGCACGACCTTGCGTGGCAGGCTCTGCAGGTGCGCGGTCAGCTGCCCCACGTCCTCCGGGTCAAAGCGGTGGAGCGTCAGCGAGACGGGAACCGGTGCGTGCTGTACCCACCAAAGAGCGTAGTGCAGACCAAGCTGCGGAACCGTCTCGGGCGACATTGCTTCCTTCGCTGCTGGTGCCGCCGCTCCCGTTGCAGTTCCCTCAGTTACGGTTACCGCAGTCACTTTCCTCTTGCCATCCGATAGCAACGCCGCCGCGCGATCCGCCGCAGACAGTGGTGTTGCCTTGTGTGACGTCAGGTGCTGCAAAATTTCCTGCGGTGGCGGGAGATAAGCGGGAGCATTCGCGGCAATAAGATCGCAGCTACTGCTGTTGCTGCTACTGCAGAGCCCCCCCTTGATGGTGTTGCCGGTTGATAGACTCGGGCGGCGCTCAAAGCAGAGATTACCCGGCAGCACACAGCCTTTCTCCCGCAGCTCCAAGGACAGCCTAGCGCAGGGGCCCGCGGCGACAAGTGCGAGTGGCGCGAGAGGTGGCAGGTAGGAGCCAATGCTGCAGAGTACCGCGAAGGACACGCCACCGGTCATTGTGGGCCTTACGGCTGTTGGTGTGGAAACAGCTGATGACGTCTGCAACGTCAAAGGATTCTGCTGGTGATGCTCCTGCTGTGGTGTAGTGGGAAAGCGCTCGCACGAGAATTGGCGAGGCATCGGCGGCGCTGTTGGTATTAGTGGCGGCTGAGCCGCGCCGCCGTCGCTTTGCCGTGGGTTCAATTCTGGGGGAAGAGATTGTGGTCGCTTCCTTATCGAGGTGTCGATGTGCATACGAGCCAAGCGACACACAAAAAAAAAATCGTCTATCCCCTCCTTCGTGGTGGTATTATCGTTGGTTTCTAATCTTTCTTTTCTTTGTTGTTGTTGTTGTTTCCTTTTGAAACAGGTGCTTGAGTTGGGGTTCCTGCTGCTGTGCGCCCCCCACCCCACCCCACCCCACCCGCACCACATGAGGAGATGAAGGAGGTGAAAAAGAAGTACTGGCGTGCACCATCTTGTGTTGTGTGTTCAGTGTTCAGTGTGCACTGTCCCAATTGACTGTTCCTGCTGCGGCTGCGGCTGCTGGAAGCGTAGCAGTCTGGTGAGTGCGTCAGCACAGGGAGGTATGCAACAGCACGTCCCCCACCGCCACCACCACCACCACCATCACCACCACACATAGGCACACAGAGGAGCAGGGAGAATAACAGCAACAGTCACAAGGAAGCCACCAGCAATCATAATAGTCGACAAAACAACTTCCCACCAGCGCGCCGACAAGTCATAAACTACTGGAGTAAATGGTACAACACAGCAGATACCACCACAACAAGACCAGACCCTCGTAGCCGCAACCGTCACGCGCTCGTGCTGCGAGACGCAAGCGTCAGACGCCTTGCAGACAGGCATAAATAGAATTTTTTTGCATCGGCATTAGCACCCAAGCATGTACGGCTTCCCCTCACTAGTGGTATGCGCCTTCAGAGGAGGGGGGTGGGAGAATGCCACAGCCGATCCATTTCTTCTTGCATTATTGTATCGGGTGCACCTCAACCGCCTGCCCGCCGGCCAGCAGCGCCACGAGCACAACGGCACTCGCAGCGCTCACGTTGAGCGAAACCTCCTGCGGGCGAAGGGTGGCGGCATTTTCCACCAGCACCTCTCCCGCCTTCTGTTCCTTCACGCCTACCCCTCCTCCTTCTGATGTTACAGCTTCAACCCGTCCATGCTGCTGGTGCTGTTTTTGTTGTTGTTGTCGCTGCTCCCGCTGTCGCAGAGAAGGGACATGCACAGCGTGTGTGCAAAGACGCAGCACCTCCAGGGGCAGGCCCTTGTCCTCGTTACCGAGCAACACAAGACGACGCGGTGGCAATCCGGATTCTTCTCCCTGGTGCTGCTGCTGTTGACGCTGCTGCCCAGCTGTTCGCCACGGTGTTGCGGTGGCGCCGTAAATGCACAACTTACGAGCGTCACCCCGTGCTTTGTGCTGGGCAATAGTGTTTTCGAGAAAAGCCGTGGTGGGCATGACGCTGCGGTACACCTCCATGTGTTCCACGAAGCCGGTGCTGGCGCGTGCAACGGCTGCTGTGCAGCCCGCACTGTCGCTGCTCAGCACCACACGCTGCACGCCAAGGAAGAACGCCGACCGCATAATTGCGCCCACATTGGCCGGGTCGACGACGTGGTCGAGAAACAGCACCACATCCCCGCCCGTAGCATGCCGGCCCTTGTCAGTGCTGCTGCTACTACTGCTGCTGCTGCG